GGATCTGGCCAATATACTATCCAGGTATCCAGACTACACTAAATACAATATTCCTAACACGAGATCACCTTGTATAACCGGTATGAGCCTTGATCCGAGGTGTCCGTAGTACACTAAGTGTGGATCAAACAAAGAAATCAACCACTTGTGCCCAATGATGCAAATTCGATTCTCTGTTATTCCTAAGTTCTCGATCCTGATTTGTCTCATCCTCTACTATCTGGATCCACATATTTCCTTCCCACCATCTGCTTATCTTCGGATCTGACTGTATACCGCCGAATGCTTATCTTGTTTACGTGATCCTGAATCGCCTTGGGTAATCATGTCTGGATCAGGCATAATTATACCCAGATCTGGCACCTATAATTAGGTTCTCCTAGATCGTTCCAGCCAACTCAGAATCAGTTGAACCGGGCCCATCAGACCTTCTCAGATCTGGATCCATCATAGTCACTGAAGATCCGGGTGTACCTGTCACTCCACTTGATCCGATCACTTTCTATCTGCAATTTCTCGGATTCCACTTCACTACAATCGCCTCCTGTCTGTAGTCGTTGCTGCCGACCAGGATCACTGCAGACACTTCTCCTTATTCTCTATTCGTCCCAGATCTTCCAGTTCTCCATTATGTCCAACGCCCCCAGCCACAGTGGATCCTCGAGCGGTAGATCGCCAGGATCAGCCTTCGATCCTCACGCCACGCGCGACGAGCTTCACCGCTACGCCACGCGTCTCCTTCGTCGTGAGGGCGAGCTCACTGCGGCCCTGGCCTTCCAGACTCTGCCTCGCGACTCGGATCCACCGTCCATAGAGCACCTGGATCGACTGGATGATCTTCACGACTACATCCGTGAGCAGGATCGAGCGATCGCCGTCATGCAGCAGACGATCAACGGTCTTCAAACAGATCGGGATGCGCTGCAAGCTACGCTCAACTCACATGGCCCCGTGATCCTTGATCCACACGCATTTGCCGCCCACGTTCACTCCCTTGAGCGACAGGTCGCGGATCTGGAGTCTCAAGTTACTCGGTTTCTGTAGGAGCGTGAGCACGCAGGCGCGGAGGTCCTGGATATGCAGGAGCAGCGTAATACGGCGGATCGCGCCCGGGATCAATCCACCCGCCAGCTGCAGGTTCCTGAAGGAGTACTGCGCCACACATGTCAGGCCTTGGATCGGGCTGAAGATCGCGTGCCAAATCGCGGCCATAGTTTCGCCGGATCCGTCGTCGTCGGATCCTCAGGTCAGATCTGTTGATCGCGTGCCAAATCGCGGCCATAGTTTCGCCGGATCCGTCGTCGTCGGATCCTCAGGTCAAGTTGGATCACCAGATGGCAGAACGTGTAGCGCTCCAGAATCGGTTCGATCAAGTTTCGGCTGAGCGCGATACGTTGAATGTGCAAGTTCAAGCGATGGATCGTGAGGCGGATGCATTTCGCAGCCAGATCCAAGATCTGACCGTGGAGTTTAAGCAGGCAAAATCGAGCTATGAGGTCGCGCGCGTCAATCTCGCTGGCGCGGTCAAGCGTAAGAAGGGATATCGCGACGCAAACGAGGATCTGAGTACGTCTTCTTTCCCTTGATCTCAATCACATCCTTTCGCTAATAAAATATCCTCTTCTTTCTTGCAGAGCGTGATGTCACTGTGGCTCGGACTGCGTATGCCGACGCTGAGCGGTCGATCACGGAGCAAAAGGCCCAGATCTTGAAGTTAAATCGTCAACTGACCCACCTTGATCAAAAGGGCACAGATCTGCGGCGTGAGCTACGGAAAGCGCTAGAAATATTTTCCACAGTGGCTGCCGGGATGGGATCAAGCCCTCCGACCACTAAACTTTGTCTCGATAGTCCTCCCCGAGATCAAGAGCAGCCGGATCAAGAGAAGCAGGAGCAAGAAAGCCCGGATCACGACACACACAAGTCAAGAGAGTTCAGATCAGGACAACCAGAGTCTAGAAAGTAGAGATCGGGATATGTCGGATCAAGACAAACCAAGCCAAGAGAGTTCGGGACAAGCCATGTCGGATCAAGGTAACTCTGAACTCGACAAGTCTGATCAGGATCGGCCCGACCAAGATCCCGACTACACACCCACACCGAACGGAACTGATGGGTCTTCTTCCACCGACAAGCGTCAAGATCTTCCCCCCAGCAAGAGGTCCCGTGATCTCCCCCCTTCTCGTGACGCAGGTCGTCCTTCCAAGAGAAAAGCTCCGATGACTGAAAATCACAAGAGGGATCTGGATCCGCGAGGAAGGTCAAGACGACTACGACATGGGTGGGGGCCTGGATGCCGAGGAACCATCGGATCCAGATCACACTCTTCTCGGCGAGCTGTTGGAGAAGGATCGTGGGGCTGCGAGCACAGTTCCGACCCCCGAGCCGCGCTACTTATCATACGACAAGGGTGGATCCAAGAAGTCTGACATCCCAGTAAGCTCGGATCCCATATCCAAACCAAATCCCAAGTCTAAACCTCGGTCGGCTGGTGATCTTAAGCCCTCCAAGGATACAGATCTGGAGGAAGAAGATCAAGAGCCAGAAGCAGACACTTCAGCCGACGGTGATGACGACGACACTTTGAACGACATGCTGCAAGCCCAGACGCTCATGGCTCTTTCTCGATCCCGATATGAGCAGAGACGTCGCGATCACGCCGCACCTCGGCGTACTGGAGCTGGGGGCGCTGGGGATCCTGAATCAGGCGGTGATTCAGACGGGGATGGCTCAAGCAACGGCAGCGGTGGCAGCGGTGGTGGGGGCGGCGTATCTCCTGTGGATCCGGCTGGAATGCCCCTCGTTTCGACAATGCTTCCCCGACACCATTTCGCTCCCGATAACATATGCATCCCTGGCCACCAACAGACTCGTCAGTACAACATTGCGGACGTGGATCCGTGGGTGATCCAACGGATCAATACTCTGACGATCATGACGATGACTGTGGAGGTGCTATCTCGCGCGCTACCATTTCGCCCTGAGTGGATCTTCCCCAGTCATCTTCCTCGGGCCGCCATTCCAAGATCAGGCCAGTATTGTAGTCACTTGATCACGGGTCAAAACATCCGTGCTCTCATGGCCGCCCTTCCCTGGAATGTTCTCGCTGGTGCTAACATCCCCGAGCCCATGTCGTTCGACATTACGGTCGATGGTCGCTTGGGATTCCTGATCGAGAGATATTCTGCGGTGGAATTCCAAGATCTGATCGCCTACTGGGAGTCCACGCATCGTTTCCCAGTTTCGTCAGCATTGATCCGCAGCGATCCATATTTGGCCGCTTTCGTCGTGGAGCGGAAGAACCGTCGGGGCGCCAGGTGGAAGCAGATCCTACGTCTCTTCTTGATCGCGATGCGTGAGGGCTGGTGTGATCTGGATCTGATGTGATATCCTTATTTTCTTCATTTTCCCAAGCGTACGGACGAGGTAGCTTGGTACCCCGGGATCGAGGCTCGCAGTGCTAACATCGCAGATCCGCAGCTGAATCGTCGTGGCCCGCTGACCTGATCAAGGCTCTCGCTGAGTGTGACGCTGCGGATCCGTGGCGTACCAACTGCCGACTGCACCATGCGGGCCATCCTGCTCGCCGGATTGCACGTCTCGCCGGTAAATCCTTCAACATGGCGGCCCCGAACCCCAACGCGCCGCCTCTTGCTCCTCAGCCATGATCCTGACATTTCTCCTTACGCTCTCTTCAGATCATCTCCGTTATGCGTAGTATATGTCATTCTCTTTTCCGATCTGTGTTCACCCGTGTTCTCCATGCTTGTTGTTCATCCTTTAATCCATAGTCTCTCAGGTAATACAGCCTTAGATCCACAATCAGAATTCATTCCTGCTCATTCCGTGTTCCTCTTAGAATCCATCTCGTTCCACTACGATCCTCTATCGACATGTCATCATATACAAAGTCACATAACCCTTGTCCTTCGATCTGCAAGGAAGTTGCAGATCCATCGACTTTCCGCCGCACTAGTGACCAACTCACCAGTGTGGATCCAGATCTCACGGTTCCTCGTGAGATTGCATCACACCGAAACGGTTGCGATTGGCACGATCTCGCAAGAACTCATAGAGAAGAGCACCGCAGTTGAGATCTGCCTAATCTACCCAGGTCGGATCGTCATATCTGCGCCAATGTACTAGAAATACTTGGTAGATCCGGCCATATCTAGTCCTCTTGCCAGTCCTCATATCGGAAATTCGCTCCACTTCGTATTCATCTGGATCCCGATCTTGGATTCAGCTGTCTTCAGGTAAGAGAGCTTCATCGAAATCCACCTGATCTCCTTCTGACCAGTTTAGACGAGCTATTGGTCGATCTGGGAATACCTTGACCAGTTTGATCTTCGACACATACACCACCGGAAAAATGCTGTATGTGGACCCTACTACGTCCAACCTCACTGCGTATTCTCCGATCTTCTCGGCAACGCAGAATGTGCCATGCCATAAGTGCGCCAGCTTTTTCGCATACCCTTCACGCACTCGATCTAGGTATAGAAAGGCCCTTGATCCAGACTCTACAGGATGAGGATGTACTAGATCATTATGCGTATCGGCCCGATCCGCGATCGCCTCACGTAGACGTTGGTTCACTTGTTCTCTGGCCTGCTGAAAATACTTTGCATCCGAATTCGCTATCTTCTCGGATCTCGATCGTGCCTGCGAGTGCTCCCCAGCGGGATCACCGCTTCCAAAATAGATCTGGGATCTCATCCATGTATCATGTAGAAAGGCGTTTCACCTCAGATCCGGTCTCTTGCAGTATTGATCGCGAAGGTTAGTCGTTCCGCATACTCGTCCTAATCTCGTTGATCTAGATTTTCCACATACATCTTAAGAGCCCTGGTAGTTGTCTGCACTATATGTTCTGCAGATCCATTAGCTAGTAGCCCGTTGGCGTTGTCCCATGATCTTGACGATCGACTTAAAGAAGTTAGACATAAAGCCTGGCTCCCAATCGTGTCGGATCACTTCGCTCGCGCCAAATCGACGGAAGACACATTCTTTGTAGGTCTCGGCGATTGTTTGAGCGGATCTAGAGGCGCTGACTTTGGCGATCACATATCCCGAGAATAGATCCACGAAAATCAGCAATTCAGTGTTGCCGTTGAAGGATCTAGGCAATGAAGGTATGTGATCCATGGCAATGATCTGAAATGGGTATCTTGCCTGAAGGTTACCAGGTGACTCGCCCTGAATCCGAGGTCTTCCCTTGCCTGTTTCACAGTCAACACATTCCCCTACATATCGCTGTACACTCTTATATAGACCTCTCCAGTGGAAATGATCGCGGATCCGACCGTAGGTGCGACCGAACCCTTGATGACCACTCTGTAGACTCGTGTGATAGTGATGCAAAATGTCCTGTTGAAGCGTTTCAGGTATCACCAGTCGCATCAGCTTATCTCAATCTACGGCAGTTTCTTTTAGTTGTCGGGCAATAGAAGAGTAGATCCAACTGATCCACTTCATAATTCATAGCAATAGATCCAAACATCTTAGCTTCTTCTTGTTTCAAATCCCGGACCTCCCCGACCAAATACTTCTTCAAACTCATGATCGACGACTCCTCGTCCTGCGCTTGTCGGATCCGCTCGATCCGTAGCTCTCTCACGACCTCTTCTCGTAGGGAGTTCGGATCAGATCCCACAAGCACTCCCGATCTAGCCTTAGATCGGGTCGTCATAGCAGTCGTCACAGCTGATATTTGTGGAGTCTCGTCTTCGACTTTCGCTATCAGGATCTCATCCAACAGATTTAAGGTTATGAGATCCTGGATCTCTATGTCAGACTCTATCTCGATCCCACATTGCCGTTGTAGGGCAGCACTTGCTAAGCTGTCAGCACTTCTGTTCCAGTCTCATTTGACGTGTAACAGCTCATGATCTGTCCAAGTACGTAGTCGATCTAAAGCTCGCTGGCGTAGCAGTGTCAGACCTGGTGCCTTACAATCGATCTCTCCTCGTACTTGTCGGATCACCAGGTTTGAGTCTCCGCAGATCACCAGACGCTGTGGATCCAGATCTTCCAACAGATCCAGACAGCAACAACCCATGGTATTCCGCCTCATTAACCGTCAAGCCCTCGGCGTACCCCGATCTGGCTTTCACCATCCTCCATTCGGACAGCTTCTACAAAATCGCGCTGTAGGCGCCTCCGCCTCTCTTGACACGGGCAGCTGCATCGAAACCGACGACATATAGCTCCTCATCTCGTCTTATAGTGGGAATCGGAGCTTAGATCCTGCGCCTTGGCTCCTTTTTAGGAGCAATTGAGATCAATCCCTTATCCACTTCTGATCTAGGGGTAATACTGTGACACGAAGTGATTTGGAAATTTACATGAGAACAGGAATTTG